AGTGAGTTGTTTTGTCTAACACGGGATAGTTGTCAAAACTGCCAGAAGAATGCCGTCGTTTGCGAAGGCTATCCACTCAAGGAGATTTGGAAGAGTGGAAGACAGAGAATGGCTGATGGTAGGTGCATTCTACATTTTGATTTTGACTGTTCCTGATGCACTAACTTCCTTTTTTTCTTTTTCTGTAGCTCGATCCCAATCTCTTACAGCCGTCCCGCGCAGTTTACCCCTCCTCATCGACGGCATCGAAACGGATGTCGACCGTCGCTTTTTAGACCATTTTGTGTACGGTTTCAGTCGCGTGCTGACCCTCATAAACGATGATTCAAATCCATTCAAGGAGATTCTTCTGCCGATGGCGACACAACACAGGGGGCTGATGCACTCGCTAATGTGCTTGTCCGGATCGCATCTCTCAGGTTTGGATCCCGAACCCAAGCTGAGAGAGCGAAAGTACTTTCATTTTCATCACGCTATCCAAGATCTGAAAGACAATATCAATGCGTCATCATCAGCCAAGAGCCCCGACGAGGATGATCGATTGTTAGTCGAGGACCCGATCATCGCATCCACCATCGCCCTCAGCTTGAACACCATCTGTGAAGGTGAAACAAACGGCGAATACCGACCGCACATGGATGCCGCCCGGTATCTGCTACTGTCACAACAGCCACGGAATGAAAAATTCCGCCAGTTCATCGTCGAGTTCTTCCAGTACCACGACGTCTCAAACTCCCTCACCTCGCTTGACCGCCGTCCAAATTTCTTGCAAAACGACCTGCACATGCCCGATTGTGTACCCGGCGTGTCAGCTGGGATGTTTCTCGGCGTGTTTGATGGTCTCTTCAACTACATCTCGCAGATAACCCAGCTCCGCGACCGTATCCGCGAACGCTTCAACGAGGGCTATGAGCCAGCAGTGGACTACCAGACACTGAGCGAAGCAGTCTCCATTGATATGGCCATCCGTACTTGGGAGACCTCGCACGAGCCCGACACCCCGAACTGGTGTCTGGCCCAGCTATACCGTCAGTCAACCTGGGTGTACCTGTACCGGACGATCCGGCCCTCGCGACCGAGCGATAAAATCGCACAGGTTGTCAACGACGGACTAGACTACCTGGACCAACTGCCACAGGATGCATCCGCTTTTAGTATTGTGTTGATGCCACTGTTCTTGCTGGGTTGTTCTGCGTTCTTGACCGAGCAGCGCCAACGCATCACGCAGGGCTTCGAGAATCTCAAGTCCTACTCTAACCTGCGAAACATCGAGCCTGCTTTCAAGGTCGTTACGCGGGTTTGGGAGATTATGGATACCCGGATGCAGGATAGCTGGGACTGGGAAAAGATCATACGTGATATGAATATGGATTTCTTGATTACTTGAATCGTCCTCTCCCATATCCTGCTTTCTTCTCCTCTTACCCTTCTGATACCCTGTGGTTTTCTATTTACTTTACCTTGTCTATTTCCTTGCTCTCTCCTTGTTGATTATTCCCGTCTTGGAAGGGAATTCTCCCTTTGTCCCATACTGGGACCCGACGATTACCCCTCAGATGAGGCTGTACCATGTTGCGTTTTGATTTGATTGTTATTGTGACTGTGATGATGATGATGATGCATATGTATTTGCATCTCGGTGGCCGGGGGTACTATTAATTTTGCGTCGGTGTTTTTCTATTCTTTTCTTTCGGTTTGCGAGCATCGGTGCGTCGTGGACTCTCAGTGTCAAAAGACATATTAGCCAAGCCGTTCCTTCCAAAAAAAAGGCTCCCGATTCAAAAAAAAAAAAAAGTGGAGTTGGTGTTATTTCTGTGGATGAGAGATGTCGAGAGGTTGGATGATCTCATGAGTTGATGGAGGCGTTCTTGTGCTTGGAGGAATATGACCAGGCCAGGTCTGGTCTTGTTATTTGGTTTTAGGTAATTGTATATATTCAGATTTCCCTTGGGTTTCCTGTGTTGCCGAATAGGAATTGGGTCTTCATCCTTGTACAGTATCGGATTTTATTTCTTTTAAGTGTATTGGGGGTGATCACAGAGTCTAGACTTGGATCTCTTGCATCTCCTTACTGTACTTCTTTGTTCTTTTACTGGCCGTTCTAGGGACATCCTTGACTATAATGCAGTCAGATTAGTGCTCTTACGCATGACTGTATATCTGGGGATAGAAACACGAGAAGTTAGGACTTCTAAGAGGGCCCTGGCCTGAAACATATTTGTGTTCTTAGATGTCGTATCTAAAACTGCCGGAGGAAGATGGACGGCATGGTGATCCACAGAGACATGCGCCTACTCCGACAGTACATCCAACAGGGAAGAATAGCTTCACGTCCGAAGATTGGGCCTTGGCAGTTCTAGCCCACCTCCCCTATCAAAACTGCGAGTTCCATCTTCATACTCATTTCTCTACCTCTCTCCTTCCCTATTCCTCCGATTCCCTTCAGATTTCGCCTACTTATACTCCGTACTCTCCATTTGTACTCCACTAAATCTCAACCGCGTACAATAATGCGTCGTAGTATAGTTGCCCTTTCTAGTCTCCTTAGATGATAATATACTGGCCCGTTTCACAGGACTGTAAATCCTAGGAATATGTACAGCATACACAAGTGATTCCTAGAGCTGCTTTACCATTTTTTATGCCTGCGATTTTAAATACTAAATGGTAATTACAGATACGGTATTGAATTCTTACTACTAGGCTGCTAAGATAAGACTGATACAGATCGGTATCGGGGCCTGTATTAAAGTCCGCCGGTCGCACCCCACCAAAAAAAGAGTCTAATTTCAACTTTACTTCTTGTACCCACCTTTACGCACCTTCCGGGCCAGCCATCTTTCCCAAATTTGGACCGTATATAATTCACTAGTACCTCCAGGGCTACAATAGAGCCCCCTAAATTTTCAGACCGTGCTAATGTACTCCACATACCAATACGTGGTTAAGAAATGCTTTAAGAACCATTACTTGACATCGCTCAATGCATACTGACCACTGTCGTCTACAGTTCACCAGGTAGACTCCCAAGCTTGGAATTAAATTCAGGGAATTCCGATTTCCTTCGAGCACCCCGCATCCTTGCAGATGCCGGTTCTCCCACAGCTACCAAAGCTATTCAAAATGATCAAATTACCACGATCGTCAATAGCAATGTCTAGGCAATCTTCCGCAGCCTGAGATGAATGAGAAACCATAATTCACCGCAAGGAAAAGTGCCGAGTGAGAATATAATACTCCGTAACCCCTCGTCAATTAATTTGTTTTTTCTGGAACGCCCCAATTGTAGGGTGAATGTGGGCTATCAGAGTGGCGTCAGCTCTTCTGTATATGTACGGAGTAACTTCTTGCCTACCACTGTGTACTTGATATGGGAGTTCAGTGGCAACGAGGTCGTACCTAGCGTAGTGTGCTTCCGAATGCTATGCTAGCGTAACTATTGCCAGAAATATATCCCAAGCGCTTAGAATAGGTTCTGCTCAGATGGATCAGATCTCGGGACAATCTCTCAGCTCAAAAAGGGGTGAAGCATGTGCACTTAGGGCTTCTCCCCCTTGCATATAGCAGTGGACTTGTGTACAACATAGCAGCTGAAGAGTGGGGTCGTATGCATATTTTAGAAAATATTAGGATATGCATATCGCTAGTCTATACAATCTAATGAAGATCACCTCTGCAACCAGAATAAATGTTTTGTGTAAACAGAGGGAATATATAAATTGCAGAATTCCTGACCGAACCTACTCCAAAACAACTCAACCTTTTGAATAACTTCAATCATCTCCACATATCTTGTTTCCTACCTTCAATTTACTATTTTATCAATATGAAGACCTCCCTTGTTCTCAGTATCTTGGCGACCCTTTGCCAGTCAGCCGTCAGTCTTGAGGAGGGGAGTTATACAATCGGATCTAGTCTCGAAGACAATGAAGTCTTGACCCAGACCGGGATCGGTGGGGCTGTGACATTCGAAGCCAAGCGGGATGGTGAATCTTCCCAAACTTGGCACTTCACTCAAAGCAGCGACAGCAAGCGCGATTTCCTGATTGCCGACCCTGCCGGTAACTTCATCAACTGTGGCGATGAAGCAGGTTCTCCTTGTATCCTCGGATCGGAGCAGGAGGTTTACACCACCGAGCTTGTTGGTGATGACAGCTATCAGCTCGTTGCAAAGAAGTCCGGATACTTCTTGCGCACCGATGGGGATGATTTGCAACTTGCTGAATGGGATCAGAGCCCTAACGAGGTGTTCTTATTTAAGCCGGCTCTATAGTAAGTCATGGAGATATTGCTATAAGAAAACAATCAAGCTGATGAAATCCAGGGAAAGAAAGAGATATTCTTTTCAACTTGGTGATACGAGGGCGGTTGTTTGACGAGGGAAATGATGGATCTTCCACACAGCCATAAATCTCGATGGTTCCTGGAAGACTTGAAAGCTATAGACTGAGAATGGTGTATGTTATGCATACGAATGGCTCATATTCATGATCTCCTCTCAAACATGCTTAGAGTATATGAGCCTCATTTGGTTCGTTGTCAATCAAAGCGCACATATCGCATTATAGGTTGGTTCACTGTAATACCTATACTAAATGAATGTAATATATATATATAGTCGTAGGTGATCTCAGTAATAGTCCTTTGGCAAACTAAAAGTTAGGATCTGTGGAATTTAAAACCCAAGTCCTCTCGTCGGTCAGCTTGCAAACGGGCTAAGTGGCTTAAGTCATGTCTGGCATAGCTCCTTCAAGTGTATCGAGCTTGTAAAATAGACTCTCTTCTGGCTGCTCACGCGGGATAGGCTTAGTCGTAGCCTAACTCTTGGAGTATTGCTCTTTATCCTACATAAACTCTTTGTCCGAGTCCCTGAACCATCCTGGCCTCGTCTCCTTGGTATGTCATATCGTATTGCAATTATTGAAGTATCATCGTCTAGACGAAGCAATTCTATCCAATTAGCAACATGGCCGAGAAGAGAGAAAAGCAATTGAGTCTTACTAATTGCCGAAGACAGCCTGGCATTGGAAAGCCTCCTTCAAGTCGCCGCGCAGTTTGGGCTTACGCTTCAAAAGTGTTGCCAAGGCGTCTTGCAGTTTCTGATCATCATCAAAGTCAAGCTCCGATTTACCAGGGATAGCATAGCTCAGCAGGTTCTCTACGTCTTGGAGATCAACTGCCTGCTTGGCACCATGGCGCTGGTACTGCGATCGGATCTTCTCGCGTATGATCCATTCAGCACTAAAAGACTTGACCTGGTATCCGTTGATGTTCTGTGTCACTCGAGCGGCGGTTTGAAGATCGTATTGGGGTCGGTTTGGCCAGCTCTAGTAATCGAATACTTCGAGCTCGACAAGACGCACCGCGCCTCCGGGCAATCGTAGCTTGTATCCCGGGATATTGTGGCCGAATTGACTGACGGGGGCGAAGTCGGAAGGGAAGGATGTCAAGAGCTTGTTCTTAAGGAGGTCTGCAGTGATGGATCGGTGATCGACACGGATCACCAGGTCCACATCTTCCGTAGCGTGCTGCGGATCAGGTGCCATAAGGCACACGGCGGCACCACCCATCATGGCATAGTCAACTTTCAAAGTGTCTAGCCTCTGCGCAATGGTCGCAGCGACATGCTCTAGCTGGGTCTGAAGAAGCACAGACATGTCGGTTTTCTCTAATATTCCGGCGGTGAGTGTTGGCGAGGTAAAGTGAGGGGAATGCCAGAAAATGGTGGAGGAATTCGCGATGCAAGTCTGATAGAAGATGTGACCAGAGGTCAAGAGGTTATATGGGGAATGCAAGAGAGGTACTGAGAGCGAAATAAAAAGGAAGATAAATGATGGTGAAGAGCAGGGGGACCTATGCGTCTTACCCAAGAAGGCTGTCTCAAGAACCCTGGAAATTTGCATTAAGAATAGCAACCTTATAGCCTCATTACCTGAGGCATCAATGTGACAGAATTCTGAAATCAATGCAAAGAACCCCTCCTGTACTATTCTACAGCCAATGACGTTTCGTTTCGAAGGTTTAAGCGCCGACTTCGTAATCACCCACACAAGAATAGTTGGCCGCTTATGTGGCCTGGCCATGTCTTCTAAAATACCTTTTAGATACACGTTAGATATCTTTGAGGTGTGGACCTTTGATTCATATTTATCCGGGCCTTTTAATCAACATACATGGGCTATCTGCGTCATAAGAGAAACCCAGTAAGTCAACTAAATATCGTTTATTGTCTACTCTCTTGCAAGCCTTTGGAGGTCTATCAATATGCTTCCAGATCCGCCACCGTGTATTGAATGGAGAAGATCTAATCCTGCACAGCTCATTCAGGCAACGGGTTGCCCCTCATATCTACCAGCGTTTCCCTTCCTGAACCCAGTCGTTTTGAGACACGTCTGTCCCAGGGGCCGAACTTTTCTTCGTGTATCCGACCATACTGCACACTGAACCAATTCACAGCTCGTTCGTCCGGGCAGTTATCAAAAATGTCATTGTCGACCTCGAGGTATGACACCATCATAGCTATCCAGGTACTTAGTGTATCTCCCCAAATTGAAGTAGGGGCATTTTCGTCATCCTCATCATTTACAACACCCTTAGCCATACTTTCAACCAACGCCTCTTCCAGTGGATGAAATATGTTGCCGTAAACGTCGTATTGTTTGGAAGGGGTGGGATCCAGGTTCGACTCGCCAGCCACATCTGGTGTGGGGAGATTTGCAAAGGAATTTGGGACCACAATCAGCTTGAGACGCCCTGCTAGGTGATAGTTGATTGGATAGTCGAAGTGTGTGGTAGATTTATCTAGACGTTCATATTTTTTGTTCACCTTCTTCATGACCTTGTCTGGATCTGGGAGCCTTGCCAATAACTCGGGGGCAGGCCTACGGTCAGGCACCGTGACATGGAAACCAGAGTCCGTTAGCATCTCGCATACTGTCTCGTAATCCTTGTCGTGGACAGCAATCATGGCAGTCTATAAGGGTTGGTTAGTGGATGGTGCGATGTCAAATTAGTGATAAACGAACTTACACCAAATACAATGGGAACGCCCAAGTAGTTCATTGCAAGCGGGCCCCATGGAAAGATATCCAGAGGTGCAAGTATCTCGCCGATTTCGGAGGTAATGGGGTCAGGCTGGGTTTCGCGTGGCCGTCGAAACATTTTAGTGTAATATGACAGAAAGTAATCAAGTCGTGGTTCGCTTTTGGGTGATGCGAAAGACAAGGGAAGTAAAAGAAAGCGTGTGGGGTTCGATGATCTTTGGACACATGATTCGGATCGTTGCCGCTTAAGTGGGGCCTGAATGTGGGGCGGCCGAGGGTCTTAGAACATAAAGCAAAAAGAAGACGGAGCAATACCGGAGGTGGTACAGATTGATGTGATTTATGTAGTCAAGCTAGCTAATGAGGGGGGGCTCTCTTCATGTGACTAGTCACGTGATGGTAACATTATGCCCCTACAAACAAAGGTCTCGTCCCGAGACCTGAAAATATGCAAGAAAAAACAATACGAAGCAGCGTTGATCAAAGCTTGGGATGATGATGCTGTAACAACGTGGACAGTGCTTCGCGAGTGAAGGTAGTGATAAATAATATTCAAAGTCAGTTCTGCATTCGCGCATGGTGTAAATCGAACACCGACCGTGCAGAATGGCACGTGCCTCCTAATATCGAAATAGCAAAATAGCAAAATTGTACCTTTTAATATAGAATAAAAGCCTCACCTTATCTCCATAACGAAAGACATGTAAAAGAAAAAAAAAAATAGGTAGCTTCTCTTTGATTGAGCGTGTCATCCTTAGTGCAGGGGCCATGCTAATCTTCTCTGTATATTTTCATTTGACCATATGCCCCGAAGGGCGAAAGGACATCCTTAAAGTTCAATATAGCACCCATTTTCGGGCAAAATTGTACCGCCTACTGGTTTGGATGGCCCACGTGGGCGGGCGTTAGCTGCCGCTGGCCTTAGGCCTTAATTAATGCCTTAGGCAAAAGCCCCTTAAGAGGTAGTTAGTCGGCAGATCGTCCCTCCACACTTTCTAAGCTAACTTTGTATGGTACATATATGGATAGCCATATAAAGCCAGTCAGCCTCGGTATTAAGATTTACGGAGTATTCTACACAACGGCAAGTGTTATGGAATAGTCAGGGAGGAATCAAGATGATCCTATTCCTATGGTAGGAGCTACGTAAGATAAAGGTATAGGGGGTCCCTGAGCTTAGTCAGGTATTAGTAATAGTCTCCTTGGCCAGCCCGTTACAGCAAGCAGGGCAACAGCTGCTGGCCGCCTGCCCTAGACTTACGTCACACAATATGGTCCTGTCCCTGTCCTAGGGTAATTTTGCCGTCACTCTTATCGATAACGTACCTTCCTCCTCCATTTCAGTCCCCCTTTGTTAATAGCCTTCTCACTTCTCTTCTTCTGTCTTATCTCCCTTTCACTATACACCACTGTTTAGCCAATATGCTGTCTCGGCCATTATCCACAGTTTCCTCCTTAGCTGCAAAGGACGTCGACTCGGCGAAGTCCCTCAATAGGACCAAGTCAGATGTTGCGCCTCGAACCTCGCAGGTCGAGGTCGAGGTAGCGGGTATCTATTATTCGCACCTGCCATTTGAAATCCCGGGTGCTGTGGTGTTGTCTACCCCTTCCATTTCTACCCTTCAACAAACTGCGAAAGATGTCCATCTTCAAATCAACTCTGATACGTCTTACGCAAACCAGTTTATCATCGTGTTGAACCTATCCCCACAAGTGCAAGAGCTAATAGCTGGGGATCGAAATCCCCTTGAGGTTCCCTACAGATTGACACTTGATGCACAGCACCAGAAAGGAGTCCTTCGAATAATGCCGTCAGGAGCTCACGAGCGGGTAACGCAGTCATTTACATGTGAACTTGTCGAGAAGCTACTCGACATGGGAATTCGTCCAAGAGCTTATACCTTGAACGCAGCCACCCGGTACCACGGAAACTCATGTGCTAAGGAAGCCGACCAGTCTCTTACCCCGTCGTGGGATGCTTCTTCCGCTCAGGAATGGCCTTCGCTTGTTATCGAGACAGGTCTTTCCGAATCAGAAGCGCAACTGCGAGCCGACGCATATTGGTGGTTCGCAAATTCCGACTACAAAGTCAACATGGTTCTACTCTTTCATATCCGAAGATCCCCTGAGCGCAGAGTCACCATCAAACTCTATAGTCTTAGACCAACTACCCCCAGAATGACCCGTGGACTACAAGCGGAGGCCGAGCGTACTCTGCTATCCAATCCTACGCTATCTCAAACAGACTCCCTAATAGTGCTGCGTCATACGGCGGCCCACGAGATCGTTATCACCCCAAGCGACGTGAATGCTCCGCTGGACTCCCTAATAGCGCTACATCATTCAGCGGTCCACGAGATCGTTATCACCTCAAGCGATTTGAATGCTCCGCTGGTATTAGATTTCGCATCCGTCATGCGCCGCCGGCCAACCCCTAACACGAGAGAAAAAAAAAAACATTACGTTCACGGCTGAGGATCTTGCTGAGTGCTGCCGCCATGTCTTTCTGGAAGCCTGATCATTATTGCTACATGTCTTATCACTGCGTCCTCATGTATTATTGACAAGTTGAAATCAAAGCTTCCTTTGCTTCCTTTTTGACAGATATCCACATAGTAGTTATTTATTAGATTCTGGACTCCGTGGCGAAACACCGGCAAATCGACGGCCAAGAACGGCCTCACTTGCGGCTGTTTCTTACAGCCTACTTGCCGTCTGCTACTTTAATTGAGAAATTGATGGATACTCTCATTTTGTTCCGTAATTAACAAATCAGTTTTTGAGCAATGGTACAGATTGATGTGAGAAAAGCTTCATTTTTCTGCTCTGTCTAAGGCTACTAGAACTAGGGGTGCTTTGCTTACTAAGGGCTCTGTAATAGCAATTCAGGTATTTTTATTTTTCTGCCGTGCCAAATCCAGGCATCAAGGCAACAATTACGTCATGCGACCCGTGAGCGCTATGCCCCTTCGTAATATACACCTTCGCACCACAGCATCCTATGGCAATGAAGTCATAAGTAGGGCTCGAGATCTCCTCCCAGGTGACGAGGGCATTGCTACTTCCAAAGGCGGGAGCATAAGCATTTGAGCAATCTTTCGATCCAGAGGTCACCCAGTTGACCTGGATATCTCCATCCTCGGTGACAACCCCAGACGTGGCCTAGGCGCCAGCGTTGGTATACTTATCAGAGAAAGCGAAATAGCAACATTGCAACCGTTTGCGCAGTTATGCAAATTCGTGTAGCCACTTCTCATCCAGGCGAAGATATACTTGGTGGTATCGGCAAACCGAGCCAACGCACTGTAGCTACCGAACATACCACCCATAGGCTCACCAGGCGCGCCGTTTGTAGTGTTCTCGTTGGAAATTTTGTCTCCGCCAGTGGACGTCCCTTACGTCTATCGTAGTTCTAAAGGCATCAGGTAAATGGGAATGGAATGGCTGGTGATATATTCTATATCAAAAAGGAAGTAAGAATTGCCTCACTTTACCACTCGCAAGTTTGGAGGCCAGATTTCTTTGGATTCTCTATATTTCACAAACATCAGAGTCGAGGGTGCACTCACTTCCACCTCATATAAAAAACCACGTCTTACTTGTTCCTTTAGAAAGTCAACGCCAATTGCAGGCATTGACAAGTTTCACCTAATAACCTCCACATATAAAATCACCTCTCACTTCTCCCTCCACAAAGTCAACAGAAATTGAGAGCATTGACAAGTGCCGGGAACAAGGCAAATAGGTAAGGGCCATAGGGCCCGAAGGATTTGGCCGTGCGAGATGAATATAAGGCTAATATCCCAACAGTCATGGAAGCACCGCGAGCGAACGAGTGCTGTGCTGTAGGAGAGAAGACCTCCTCTCCTCCGGGCGACGATATCAAAGAGAATGTATACCCGGACCCAATATATGGAGCCTTCGGAGAAATCGACAAGGCGCCGGGCTACTGGGCAAACAGAGCCCTGATAGCTCCGTGGGCGAGGGTAACGAATCAGAGAAAAACCCCAGGAAGCCTGTTATATCATATGGGATCCATGCCGCTCCTTCGGGAGCCAACCTTACAGGAAAACAGAAAGAACAACAAGCGGAAGATAGTGGACGGGGAACAGTTCAACGCCCAAGTTGGGAGAGCCCGCCATACAGCTGAGGCTATGATTGCATACGCCGTGGGACAACGGCTTCCCCTTGCGGACTCATGTGAATGCTGCCAGCGGAATGATGGAAAATTTGCTGCATGCGTGCTTGTTCCGGGCCAGGAATACTGCTCAAATTGCCTATGGGCGCGAAGGGAGGATCGGTGTGTGTTTTCGAGTATCACAAGCGCAATTCCAAAGCGACAAATCACACACCGGAAGAGGAAAAGCAAGACCATCCTTGAAGCAACAACCAACAAAAGGCCAACACCCGATTCCAGGATGTTGAGTACAGCAAATCCAGGGGCATTGCACGATGTTATTAATCGGTTAGAAACCCACTTGGCCGGTCTGAGCAAAGGTGTCCGGGATGCGGAGGAGTTGTTGCAAAGCCTAAGGGCTATCCAACAATCGGGCACAGAATGAAGTACACCTTGAGCAGGAAGGATTGCCTCTGATTCATTATATTATATCAAAGCAAAAGTGTGCTATTATTGGTTATATCGCCTTCCAATAGAGTCGTAGAGTCATTATAGCCTAGGTAAATACGAAAGGTTGAGGTATATCGGGAATGAGTTAATGTATATCTGACAATAGTTGGTGCCTATTTGGTAGGACTCGAGGCTGACTTGTGTAAGAGTTGTGGATGACATGTGGAGGAGTTGAGCATGACTTGGAGACAATTGAGGAGACTTTTGGGAGGTTGTTATTGAGAAGATCTTTCATCGACCGTGAGTACTTCAACCCCATTTCCTTTGGTGTTTCTTTCTTCTTTCCTCTCTCTTCATACCACCATCTTTTCATCAAATTTAATCACTCCTCACCGAGTCCATCAAGTTCAGTCCAATCCAAAATGTCGGACGAAAGGTTAGACACTCGGCGACTATTATTAGAGTCCCACTAACTGTATGGATCATAGCAGCGGTCCGTCCAGTGAGCCGCCCCCACCACCCGTCCGTCCCTCCCCCATCGACCGGGCCCCACTACCCCAGGCCCCCACCATTTGGGTGCCAGGCACCGATATTCCGCCTTCTGGGGAATGGGCAAGGTATCTCGAACGGCTGCCTTGGGGTATCGCAAAAGAAGGCGACCTCATCAAATCCTTCTTACTTCGCTATACCCTGCCAATGGAAAAACTCCGCGAGCCTGTTGTCAGAGCGTCCATGGCAATGACCTCCGAAAGATGGAACGAAGAAATTGGCGGACGGCTTGAAAACGTCGAAGCATTGTTTATTCAGATGGTTGGCCGGGTTGCGACCGAGCGCTGCGAGTACTGTCTTGCGGGCCGTGGTATATTCCCGCTTTGTGTTGTCTTCGACGTGCCGGGATTTGTTAAATGCTGCGGCTGTTGTCTCTACCGGGGTCGCGGGGCAACATGTAGCCTCCTCGCCTCTGGACCTGGTCAGGCTATCCTGGTTCAGGGCAGTGGTTTATACGATGTACCGGCAGCTACGAGAGCCTCAGAGGGGTCCCGCCTTGCTAGTCGTGCTCGCCGCGACCATGCCGCTGATATTAACAGTATCACGGACACATTCCTTGATATCACCCTCGTTATGAATCAACTGCAAGCAAACATGGACGACATTGTTGCCGCGGCCGGCACTGCCGCTGAGAAACTCCACGCAGCACAGTCTCGAGCCGACACCCAACTACCCATCCGCAGAAACGACGTTGTCCACATCCGGAACAGCATTAATGATATGGTGAGCTCGGCAAATCGCACTAAGTCCGTCTTCGATAGGCTTGATCGAAGCTTTAAGGATGCCAAGGAGGAGTTGAGTCAGATGCAGGAGAAGCTGCCGCCCCAGTAACTCTCTATGTATTGCCGAGCCGGCAGATAGACACTTGGTTTTGTCTTTCAGAAACCTTGGCATAATCTTTCACGTGAGGAATACATTCACCTTCAGCCATCTTATCCTCTTCTACCATAAATAATACGGCGCAACGTAGATAGAGGTCCGCGCACATGTACGCAGTCCCATAGGTGTCAGGGGTCAAAACCCAGTCCATGGGGTTGATGCCTTAATGCCTTCTGACAGAAATTGACGCCACACTTTTTCCTTTCTTTTTTCTTTCTTTTTTCTCCATCGTAATCACCACCAAATCTGTCTCTAGTACTTTTCTTTAGAGATTCTGGATTGTTCCTATTCTTTTTCCTCACGATCCTTTCCTCTATCTTTCGGTGCCTAGTCCGTAAGAAAAATGGTAGAGGCGTTCCTAAGTCCTCCCCTCTCTCGCGGGCCGCCAAGTCTATATAAGCGACGCCGCCTCCTTCGGGATTCGGAGGATAATAAAGGCGATATAGATATCGAGTAATACCTATATCGTACCGACCTATTTCGGAGTATTAGCTTCTAAAACCCCGATCCGACGGCCCTTAATGTAAGAATATACTGTTTTCAGGTATAAGGCCTATCAACCGGGTAAGATACGTTGGCTTGAGAGGAGGAAACAAAGGTATATTGGGCTATGTGTGCTAAGACTAATTCTTGCTAGAATTCAGGGGTCCCAGGGGGACCTAAGATTAAAAGGAAATATACGTGTTAAGGTTCGATACCGATTAGGTAACGAACCCCGTACGATTCGTATACGTATTAGAAACTTCTATAAATATATATATCGCCTAAGTTCCTATTTTACCTTTAAAAGGACCTTTATCCTTTATAATTATTCCCCCTTCTCCTATAAGGATATCTATATCTAAAATAGATTATAACTATAAAGTATCGGGGAGATATCGGTAGTACTCTATAATAAAGAAGCTATAATTAGAATAGTTCCGAATCTTTATCTAATTTTTCTATATCTTTATAGTATTAGGGCTATATAACTATAGATATATTTATAGTAAAGGATCCTAATTTCCTAACTATCCCTAATATTTAGTATCGATTTTACTATACCCGCTATTTATAGAAATCGAATCTATTTAAAAAATATATAGTATATAAGCTACCTTCGCTCGATAATTATTTATTTTACTCCTAAAATAAATATAATTCTATTTTTCTATTTAGTATTTTTTATATAAGACTAACTCTAAAAAATACTAGTAATATAATTAATAAAAATCGATATATAAACCTCTATTAGAGGAAATATAGGAAGATCGCGTCGAATTAATCGCGATTCTAGAGTAGGTAGCCTAGTACTAGTTATCTATAAATAGATATTATATATAAGATATAGTATATCTCTAGGAGATAGATAAGGAGATTATTAACTTAGCTAAAGACTTTAATACTATCTATAAAATATATAAGTCTAATTATAAGTTTTCGGATAAAGACTAGAAGGATTTTATAGAGGCTAAGATAGATTCTTAGAAATTATTCGTCCTAGTAGTAATTCGCTAACGACCTATTTTAGTATTATAGCTATCTCGCTAATCGCTATATAATATACTTAAATCCTATTTTACGCCTTTTTATTTCTTTAACAAAAGAGTAGTAAAAATAGTTCTATACTAAAGTAGGATAATATCTCTAAATAGAAGATAATAGTTTTATTATTTAGACCTAAGGTAAGTATAATCTTTTAGTAGTAATCTAAAATATATATATTAGATACTTCGATCTTATAGTACTAGATATTATTCTAAAGGACTTAGTAGAGGATCTAACGGATTCTTTTCTTATTCCGCTTTTTAAATTATAGGTAGGGAGGTTATATATTAATATTATTTTAGGTTTTAGTTTTTAGTAGATAGTAAATAGAAATAGAAGATATAACTTATATTTTTAGATTTAATCTATAGTTTTCTATTTTATATAAAATCTAATCTAGACCCTATCGCGTTAATAACCTTTAATTTATTTTCTTTTTATAACTCTCTATCTTCTTACTTCTTTAGATTTACGTTCCTTTACTTCTTTATTACTATTTTATAGGTTAATTATAATTATACCTCTTATCCGTTATTTATTATATAAACTACGCTCTCTAATTTTACGCTAATATACCTAGTATATAATATACCTATATATTTCTATACGCGAGTAGATAGATATTAATTCGGTATCTCTTCGATCTTTTATTATCCGCTACTTTACTAAAATATATAATAGGAAGAATTATTAATATTATAATAGGTTATATAAGTCTTATAAGATAATAAGTATTCTAGACTACTTTAGTAAGGATTTAATACTAAATCGTACTAATCTCGCTTAGGTCCTTAAGGATATCGAGGGGAACCGCTATAAACTTTCGGCGTATTTATTATAGGTTTAGGATTTTTAGACGAATATTAATAATAGCTTTAGCGAAGACGTTAAGCCTAATATTAATAACTAGAATACTATAATTATATTATAGCTACCCTATAAGCTAGTCGTTAGCGTTATAGCGTATATTTAGTATTTTATCGCGAGTTTTAATAGTTTTATAAAGTCTTATTATTATACCTACTCTCTTTTTAATATCTATATATTTTAGGTAAAATATTTTCTCTTTTATCTTTAAGATTTTATTCTAATCTATTCCTAGGCTACTAGAGATACTTATTCCTAATAGATATCTAATTATAGTTCGTTAGTAATTCCTTTATTACCCGTTCTTATTACCGCTCCTAAATATAAGAAACTTATAAATAAGGCTAGTTACTATCTTTATCTATATATAGCCGAGGAGTTAGCGCGTAGCTAGTATACTAGGATAGTCGCCTTCCGGGAGGATATATAGGAATTAGTCTAGGCTATTTAAGATAATTCCTAGGTATCTAATATTATAGGATAATTCTTAAAGATATATCTAGCTATATTCTCTCTAGATCCGCGGGTATAGCGGGCTAGTTCCGGTTCTAATTCGGCGGCTATAGCTACCCTTAGGTTTTTTTCTTTCTTAGAGTTTTTTAATATTTTAATATAATTTTTAGCGTATTTACTATTATACTTTTAGGTATCTATTAATTATATTCTAATAGCTAGCTATACTACTTTACTAGATAGTATAGTTCGTCTTTAAATTAATAGTAATCCTTAACCTCTTTAATCTCCTATTTATTATTATCCGCTAGTTCTAGTAATAGTAATTATTCTAATTCACCCTCTCGTTAGTACTATAGCTAAAGTAAGGAGATAGAGAAAATATTATAGATCGCTATATATTAACTAGGGAGTAGGAGGCGATACGCCTATTTTCTAATATATTTAAAGATTCTAAAAGATCCGATTTATTAAAGTAATAGCTTCTTTATAGTACCTTTTTTTAATTATAGGTTTTTTATTAATAAGGCTACTAGGTCGTTCTTCTTAAATATTATTTTTTTATAACGTTTATTATAATAAAACGCCTATATTTCGGTTATTATTTTCTATATTTTTTATAGCTTTTCGCGAAGTTCTATAAGCTTTTAAATTCTCGCTAAAGCTACCGGTACCTCCCTCTTAACGCTACTATCCTTAGCGCGTATTTAGAAGTTTAGATTAAACCCTAATAGAGTTTAGAATAGCGATATTCTAGTTATTATATTAACGGTATTATTATAGGCGAATTCCGCGGTATATAGAAGTATAGGCTATATCTTCTATTACTTATTAATAAAGTACTAAAGATAGTATTTAAGCGTTTAGTTTATCCTCTCTATTTAACTATTAGTCTAAGGGTAGAACGCTATTAAATATCTTAGTTTTATCTAGGATATATAATATAATTTTAACTAAAACCTACTTATAAAAACTAATCTCTAGTCGGATATAATACTATTTAGTAGTCCGAATTATAATTTAATACTTTAATAGAATAGCTCGGCTAATTCCGAAGTATTTATTATAGTCGAAACTAAAAAGAAAAGATATTATTTCGAAAAATAGTCTATAACTACTAAAATTATATTAACTATCTTTTCTTTCTAGATCGATTAAAATAAGCCTATAATAAAGTCTATTAATAATTCGGTAAAAGACCGGAAGGGAATCGGTAGTAATTTAAGCTTACTAAAAAGGCGATATCTTAGCGTTTAGGCAGTTTAATATACTATATAAGATTTTATATATTTTTTTATATTTTCTTATAGGTTAATCTAATAGAAATCTCTTTTAAGAAGTTCCTCGGTCTTTATTTTCTTAAAATAGCCTATAGTAGGGTTATTATAATATATTATTATTAATTTTTAATAAATACCCTTCTTTTTTAGTATATATAGACGTCTTTAATATCTAAGATAATCTAAGACGTTAACTAACTAGTCTTTATTATTAGGTTTCTAGGCCGATACGTTACCTTTCCGGCGGATTATTTTTAGGTTATCTAATTAGAGTTTTCCTATCTATTCGAGAGTATTTATAGTAGTAGCTATATTTATAGACTAGATTACTATAGTATCCTTTAGATCGAATAGAATATCTAATTTATTATATAGCTCTTTTTATTTAGACTATAGGTTTATATCGGTATCGATATATTTTACTATTAATCCGATCGAGTTATATTCTTAAGATTTATACTTTTAATTTATATTTAGATCTTAGGTCTTTATAATACTTTAGATCGTTAGGGTCTCTAGCCCTTCGGTCTTTTTTAGAGCTAGGGTCTTTTCGTCTATAATTTAGTTTTAAATTAGACTAATTAATTCCTTTTTTATAATTACTTATTCGGAATTTAGAATTCTAAAAAGCCTATCTATAAGGTTTATTTTTCTAGGCCTATATTTTATAATAAAGTTAAAAAGTATTAAGAATATATACTAGTATATCTATCGGCTATTAAGTTTCTACTAGATTATAAATATATATAAATTAGTATAATCTAATAATATCTTAATAGGATACTTACTATTATCTAGATAGTACCACTAGTATTAAAAAGAGTA